ACATTTGAACTGTATTTGAATCTAATCCTAACCCATTGGCTACTCCTTCTTTAATATCTGACCAATTTATGTCCTCATCATCCTCATCCAGTTCCTGTCCAGAGCTGGAGGACGAGCTACCAGAAGCCACGTTGTCACATACCAGATCCTGTAGACCAAACGCCAACAAAAATTCATCTAATTCATTGAGCCTCTTTACCTCAGCCTGCCCAATTGTAAGGCCACTTGTGTCTTCAGACAATAAATACACACCTTCTACATCAGAAGAGACAGACCTGGAATCATTGCTTGCTTGTGAAGCTAAAGGTGCTTCAGATCCATCCTCTAGGAAATCCAGTGACTCATCGTGAGGAGAGGACGAGCTACCAGAAGCCACATTGTCACAGACCAGATCCTGTAGACCAAGCTCCAACAAAAGTTCATCAAATTCATTGAGCCTCTTTACCTCAGCCTGCCCACTTGTAAGACCACTTGCGTCTTCAGACAATAAATCCACATCGACCTCTAAAACGGAGCTAATTGTCTCACCTGCATCAAAATCATCAGGCTTGTGATTAAATCTGTCCTCCATAGCCAAACACGTTTCCTCTTCATCATCATTTAAAACATCTAGTGTTCCACCCTCACCATCAGAGTGACAAGAGCTGGGCGACCAGCTAGGAGAAGAATTACCGTCATCTAATTTCTGCTCTGAAACGAACGTTTCAGCCGCAGGGCTCACAGACATCAAGTTTTCAGCGTGACTTTCGTGTTCAGGCAGTGATTCTTCATCTTCTTGTTCGGAGCAACTTGTTTCGTCTCCATCAAGACTTTCAAAGCTGGCAGAGAGCAAATCATAGTTTTCCTCTGAATCTGAAGATGTGTCGCCCTCACTCACTTCTCCTTCTGAAAAAACGGACGTTTCATCGTCTATGTCCTCTAAACCTTCATCAGTAGGAGACGTGTCCTCATTTTCTTCTAAAGAAAGTTATATTTCATCTCTTTCTTCAAAGTTCTCCTCTATAATTGTAGAAAGACCAATCTGATCGTCATCCTGATTCTCCCAAATAGTCTTAGTCCGAGATAGACCAACGTCCTCCCCCCATTCGGTATCAAGATGAGAACCGCTGAGAGGAGCTATATTTTCACAATTTAGGTCCTTCACATCTGTTTCTAACCCGAGTTTGCAACCCATTCCTTCGTCCATGTAAGGCAAGTCGCTGTCATCGTAAGGCAATGAGTCAAGGTCACTTTTTGGCTCAGACCAGGCCTCACATTCATCATGAAGCATTTCAGATCTGTCAGACACGTAATCGTAATCTTCTGTTGAAACCGGAGATGTTTTCGCTTCTCCTTCCATAAAAGCCTCTAATTCTGTAAAACTGGGCGACATTTCCTGCTTTTGACCTGAAGAGAGCGAGTTTTCATCGTTCTCATCGAAAAGCTCCTCTGTAGTTGCAGAACAGTCGCCCTCACATAAATCCTTTTCTGAAGACAATTCTTCTGACTGAATTTCTCCAAAATCTTCCTTTAAAGTGAAAAAGACGTCTGTATCTGGATTGTCACAGGAGAGGTCATCTTCCGAATGAAATAACGACAGATCATCTTCAGCAGGCGTTACAGAAGAGGAATAAGTCGTGACTTCTGATGCTAAACCGTTTCCTGACGTAACTCCGTCGTCCTGAGAAGCCGACACATCTTCCAAAGAAGAGTGGAGTAAAGCAGCTTCTGGACTAAAGGAATATCCGTCATTTTCACCAGACGTCTCAGACAAGTCGTCAAAGTGTTGTTCAGGAAAGTCCTGAGCAGAGATCGGTATTTCTGCTGCCTGGTCTCCGAACGCCGTCTCTGAAACTGCGGCTAACTGTTTTCCTCTGAAAACCACAAACTTTTCCTCATTTTCAGTGAAGTTTTCGCTGGGAGACTTCGAGCCAGATTCTCTAAATTCAAACGCATCCAAAGCTGACGTAGTTACTTGATCTGACGTAAAATCAGAAAATGGTTTTTCAGTCAGTGGTTCATGGGCCACAGAGACGCTTGTCTGGTGACCAGAATCCTTCTCTTCATGGAAAACCGATGGTTCGACATCTCTGAGTAGACCGGTTGCTAATTCCAGCCCAAAACCACCGTTGCTTTCATATTCTTGTTTTTCTAAAGCGGATAAACCGTCTTTTGTTTCTGCGAAAGAATATTTAACATCAGTTATGTTCACTTTCAGAGAGAGAGAATTCACCCCTTCATCTTCTGTAATCAATGGTTTGACATCTTTGAGTAGACAAGTTGAAATTTCGGGTCCAGGGCTATTAAAATCAGACTCCGGTTGTTCTATAGAAGATAAATCCTCTTTTTCTGCGTCTCCATAAAAATATTCATAAGCGATTCTAACACCTTTAGTAATTAGAGCACCTGCTACGAACCCAGTAACAGCAAACATGGCTGTACGGGTCGTTAAGAGGTTACCAAATCCACGCATCCTTCCAGCTAAATTCAGCTTGACTGACTGACGAAGTGCGTTCTAGCGCGCTATTTATAGGCTGGCAGGATGACGTCACAAAGGGACGTGATAAAAGGGTGGAGAGGAGCATGCGCAGACGTGATCAAAGGGTGGAAAGGAGCACGCAGACGTAATCAAAGGGTGGAAAGGAGCACGCAGACATGATCAGAGGGGTGGAGAGGATCAAAGGATGGAGAGGAGCGCAGACACAGCCAGCAAGCTAAAGAAGCTGTGTCACGTGCGTCTTCAGCGTTTGTGAGATCACGTGACTCCATTTCCTTTACAAGCTTTAAGGAGTCACGTGGTTGTTTCATGGATTTTTTTTACCTTAAGCAACCGTAGTTATTAGAATAAACGAAATTAATTTTGCATTTTTATGGATCTTAGAACTTCCTCGTGAGCATAAAGTGGGTGTAAAATATTAAAAGCGGGTTGTTTAGGTTAATAAAATAGAATTGAAGTGTTTTCAATGTGCATTTGTTTATTTAACACAAGCCTGATAAAGCAGGTACCTTCTGAAAAGGTAAATTATTTTGTTATTTTAATTATTCGGATTGTTCCCGCCGGGTCACGACCGTTGTGAACAAGTCCGTTTGTCAGACATTTATTGACTGAACAGTTACTTCTCTATAACCTCAAACATGGTCAGTGCCGTGGGAACACGTGCTGACCGTGTTTAACATGTTTATATAGATTTATGTGTAATAGTCGTCAGCCTTCACTTTTCTTGGTTCATTCTTCAACATAACAGCAGCTTATTACCACCAACACTGGAAAACTCACATGACAAGTCAAAACTTCCAGAATCCACCGAACATGGGGCTGATGCTCTGCAGCTGCAGACAGCAGATCTGACACCTGAGTGTTCATCCGCAGAAACAGAACCACCCTCCAGGAACATCTCATGTAACGGAAATTAAATGTGCACGTGCCACCACAGAAAAACTGTTTCAAACCAACATCAGCAAACATCAGTGCAGTAACGGTTCACCATTTTTAGTTCCGTTGTTCACACTTTTTTTACAGCGCTTTGTGTTCTGCTCTGAAGGTTTGAACTTTGAGAAAGTTTAAACACGAGAGAAAAGTCAAAACGTGCATGCATATCTGAAAGAAGTGCATAAGGTGTGTAATGAGGGTTTTTTGCGGAGGTGCGACAAGCACGTGCGGGGAGAGGGGCGCGCGCTGTGCCACAGATGGAGCGCATCAGTGGCATAATCTGCGCTCCTGCACAGGAGGAGACGCAAATCTGCTTAAATGCTGCAAACAAACGTTGAGAAACGGAGTCTGGTGTGTTTTCGTGTGTGACCCAAAAGTAGCTGCTTACGCTAATTCTGTAAAATCAACTTAGTGGATTTTGCGGGTTAACTCACGCGCTTAAGAACCACTGTAACGAGCACAGATCTGATCAACCTTTCCGACAGAGTGAACAAAGAGCATTGGCCTTCTACTAGGGGGAAAACGGTGCGCTCGCTCCTCATTGCATTAAACGACTGCATGAGAGAGGCAGCTCACAAATCACTTTCGTGATTCTTTCTCCCCTGTTTCAGGGGTGTAACACAACAAGCGTACCGTATTATTGAAAACAGGGAATACTAATGATGTTTTTAGCCTGCCTGTTTAGATTTTACATTTACATTTATTTTATTTTAATTTATTGATTTGATCATATTATATCTATCTATCTATCTATCTATCTATATATATATATATATATATATATATATATATATATATATATATATATATATATATATATATATATATATATATATATATATATATATATATTCTCCTCCCCCCTCCCTCCCTGAAAACATTTAACAAAGCAGTCACTCATAGAGACCACTGCAAATGAAATAAAAATAGGAGTAATCAAACATTCATCTTGTTTAGATATGTTTAAATTGTTCATTGCTCTTTGTGTTTTTGGTATAATTTCATCAGAGATTTTTATCTAATATATTTTATAACTGGACAGAAAAACAGCTACAAATGTCATCTATGTTGTGTTTATGAAGAGGGACCAAGGAACCCCATGTGGCCCCAGAGCCACCGATTATAGACCCTTGAGTAAAAAGAAAAATCAAATAACAGTCAAAATGTAGAAGACAAAAAAAAAAAAACTAATAGCATGAACATTCCTTCATTTTTTTCACATTTCAGCAACATCCGTTGCCCTGAGTCAAATGATCTTTTTATTTTAACTATTGAATATTGAATATTAATAGAGTAGTCTTCCAGAAATGCTTTTTTACAAACTTGAGTAAGTTTCCATGCTGCAGATGTTTTTACTTTTGCTCATCTCGACGTTTGGGATAAATGACAGCTTAGACAAAGCTCGTGACGCCACAGCAGGGATCAGCCCAGCTGTCTGGTGAGTTGTTCTTCCAGAATTAAACAGCAGCATCATTCAGCTGTTTGTCTTGGTCTCTGTGTGTGTGTGTGTGTGTGTGTGTGTGTGTGAGAGAGAGAGAGAGAGAGAGAGAGAGAGAGAGCTTTCTGTGGATAAGGTCTATAAATACCTCTGACTTACACACTGACTGACGGTCCAAGACAGCTGCAGCCACCAGCCTTCCAACCCATTGAGACTATTTGTGGCCATCTGAACAGCCCAGAGGTCCTGACGATCCCGCTCCGCTGTAGGAAGCAAGGCGAAAACTCAGCCAGGACAGGGAAGCTGAACAAAATGGCTGCTTTGACGATAGATCCCATTCAGCAGCCTCGGATGTACCAGCAGACCTTGCTTCAGGATGGATTGTGTGATCTGTTGGAGAATGACAGATTTGTGGATTGTGTTCTGAAAATCCAGGACAAAGAGTTCCCCTGCCATCGTCTGGTTTTGGCTGCCAGTAGCCCTTTCTTCAAGGCCATGTTCCTGTCTGACTTGGAGGAGAGTAAGAAGAGGGAGATAATCCTAAAAGATGTGGATCCTGGTGTTATGGGGATGATCCTGCGCTACCTTTACACATCTGACATTAACCTGACAGAGCAGAATGTCCAGGATATCTTCATGGTTGCCAACATGTACCAGATCCCTTCCATCTTCTCTGTGTGTGTGTCCTACCTCCAAGAGAAGATGGTGCTGAGCAACTGCCTTGCCATTTACAGACTAGGCCTTCTTCTCGATTGCCCAAGGCTCACTCTGGCTGCCAGAGAGTTCATATGCGAGCGATACCAGGTTGTTGTCCGGGACCAGGAGTTCTTGCAGCTAGACCCCAGTGAATTGGCCATCATCATCACATCAGATACTTTAAATGTTGATCGAGAAGAGCTGGTGTTTGAGTCGCTGATGGACTGGGTCAGGCATGATGAGACGACGCGGTTGAAGGATCTGCCTGAGCTGTTACATTGTGTCCGATTCAGGCTCATCCCTGTGGAGTACTTCCAAGAGAAAGTGGAACGCCACGAGTACATGAGGTTCAACCAGGAGATCAAGAAGGAGCTGGAGCTTGTCAAGGATGCTCACAGAGGGCTTCTCCCCAAGCCAAAGAGCCTTACCAGTGACGGGGCAAAGGGAGGACAGGAAGGTGAAGATGACCAGGAGGAGGAGGGATACCTGCCTGGGATACTGAACAACAACCCTCGCTTTGGAATGTTTGAGATGGACCTGATACTCATGATCAACAGCACAGGGACTGTGGCCTATGAACCAGTGGGAAACGAATGCTTTGTGGTGTCGGAGTCTACAGAGATTCCCAAGAACCACTGCAGCCTGGTGACGAGGCAGAACCAGGTGTTTGTTGTTGGAGGGCTTCTCTGCAGTGAAGACGACAAAGATGAACCACTCAAGTCTTATTTCCTACAGGTAGGCATCCAATCATGAAGACCGCATTTTACAACAACCAGTCATTGTCTACGCAAATCTTCAAACGTTTTTTTAAAAAGCCTCTTTTCGTTCCTAGCATTTCCATGGTTTCATGTTTCAACCTTTCCATCCATAGTTTGACCCAGTGAGTTCAGAATGGTTAGGAATGCCATCACAGCCCAGCCCCCGCTGTCTGTTTGGGATGGCTGAAGTAGAAAACTCCATCTATGTTGTTGGTGGAAAAGAGCTGAAGGAAGGGGAGCACGCTCTCAGCTCCGTCATGATCTATGACAGACAGTAAGTTTAAAGTTACACGGTTTAAAGGTGCATTATGTAGAAATGAAGTAAAAATGACATCCTGTGGTAAAGTTTGGTTACTGCAACCACTTTAAACAACTCCTTTGAGCAATTGTCAGTGCTGCAGCATGAACTCACAGGAGACACGGCAACCCCACACTCACTGATGGTAGTAACAGTAGTTACGTCCCTCCTTCCTTTGTTTTGAAAGAAGAAAAAGTGGCAATCCCCGCAGCCAGCTGGATATGAAATATGTTTCAGAATAACCTTCCTTCCTAAATGACGAAACATTAGACTCTTGGCATTTTCTCGCTGTAAAATTCTCGCTATATTCTTACATACTGCAGCTTTACACTTGCGAGAAGGATGTCTGATGAAGTCATAACTGAAAGATTTCTTTATTACGTTGTTTTAAAGTTTGTAAAATTGGGATTAACCAGGTTCTTTTTAATCAGAGACCTGACCGCTTGAATTTATGGGTCATGCCTTAAAGTGACAGTGTGTAGTTTCCCAGGTGATGGGGGCAGTAGCAAGCAAGCATTATTTTTGTGATCAAGTAAGACCTTACCAGCGGATGGCCATTAGGGTCAAAAAGCCATGAGAGCACAACCTCCAGCAAAATAACAAGAACAGACTCCCTTTCATCACTGGCAATGAGTGAAGAGGTAAATGTGTAAAACAACAACATTTATTCATGGTGAAAGTTTTGTAACCACTTGTTACAAATCAAAAAATGCATTTTGTCCTCATATGCTTCCGTAGAAGGAAACATGGCATCCAATATGGCGTCGCCCAGAGACTCATGGGCTCGACACATGGGAGGCGACAAACGACCGGGATCAGCGAAATTTGTCGCTGTTGCTTTTATTACCTGTCACAAGGGGGGCGATCCGCGGCAGCGGCCAGCGGCAAAGCCGTCTACGCGTTCTGTTCCATTGCGAAATCGAAACTTCCGTTGTTTTGTTTGGCTGTGTCAGGTTGGAGGGAATTAAGGTTATTTAAGCGGTTCAGAGTTAATAAAGCGGTTTCACAAGATGCTGCTAGAGTTATGTGAAATCTTACTGCTGATTTTACTATAAAACATAATAATTATCAACTTCTCCTCCATGTTTGCTCGGAGATGTACGGAGCATCCTGTCCGCTCATTGGTCAGTGAATGAAACCTCTGTTGATTGGTCCTCGTCCGAGCGACAGCGATAAAAAGTTGAAAATGTTTCAACTTTCTGGGATCGCGTCGCTGGGTCGTACGTGCACGACACGTGCACGAGTGCAAACTTTCACACGCAGGTTTTTCGCGTTTCGCTTAGTAGGAGGGAGACCCGCGATTATTGCTTTGTCACGCATGTCTCATTGAAAATGAATGGAGGAGAGGCGATGTCGCCTCCCGTGTGTCGAGCCCATTAGACCCGCTCCCATGTATTTTAGACATGATTTTAATGGTTGCAAGTTATGAAACTGCCAATACTTTTAACAACTGGATATTTTTTATTCATTTACAACAACATTTTGATGGATATTTCCAGAGATTAATGGCAAAATCTACACATTGATATTTTAATGCTTTCTCAGAACTGCAGCTGTACTACCCTTCCAGCTTATCCACTGATAGATTCACTTCATAAACACACGTGGTGGTCTTCTCTGCACACAGGTCATTTAAATGGGGCGAGTCTGACCCACTGCCTTATGAAGTTTACGGTCATGGAACCGTTTCACACAACGGCCTCGTCTACGTGATTGGAGGAAAGTCTGAGAGCAAGTAAGTGGCACAGAAAACACATTTCCAGTCATCTGTGAGGTGCCTTGATATCACTATAGAATTATATAATTTGTTGTATTAATCACACTTGGATAGATTCCTGTTAGTTAAATTTATTTATTTATTTATTTATTTAAACATAATTTTAGACGGAGGAATAACCACTTGAGATGAAACATCTAATTTTCGAGTGGGTCCTCTTTTACAGCAAAAAGAAGAACAAAAATTAAGAGCAAGACAGCGGAGCAAAAATCAAAATTAAAACATTACAACAATCATTTGCAGACGCACACACGCATACCCACACACACACACACACACACACACACACACACACACACACACACACACCCTCAAAGGCTCACAATACTTCAACCCACCCGACACGACCCCAACTAACAAGGAAAAAACAAAAGCAACAGCCAATTGAACAAATACAATTAGTAACATAGATAGACAATTATTCCGAAGATGATTGACCAGAGCCCTTCGAAAAGTTGTGAATGATGATAAAGAACGAATAGATAAAGATCCGTTGAACCCACAGCACTCACCCACTCATAGTTCACTCATAGCCGAGTGAAATCAAGCGACTCTGTGGGTTCATTCACACAATTAAAACTGACTTTCACACATTTCTCCCACACGGTTATTTAACAAAGACTTGGTTTTACCTTAACCTCCTGGTGAATTTGGTGTGATTTAAAAGAAAAAAAACGTATCTAGCTATTACAGATTAGTCAACTGTAATTAACCGAAACAAAAATTAAAATACGATAAAAATTCTATAAAATTTTGTCAAATATCCTAAAAAAAAAGAAATACAACCAAAAAAATAAAAGAGGTAAAATTTAAGTCAATATCAAGTGTCTATAAATTATGACTCAAAGGTCTAAGTAGGTCTAATTTTTGGGGTGCAAGGAGCCTATATCCACATATGTGGACACAGGGCCCTAGGAGGTTAAAACAGCCACTCGTGGTATTTCTGTCTCTGATAATTGGAAATACATCTTCTAAAGTGGGTTTTAACAGTTACTAACCTGCCTGTAGATACAGTGAGGGAGGAAAAAACACATTATTTTAACTCGTGCTTGTTTTTTTACGTTGTGTCTACTAACAGAAATGACCACTCTGGAATTACCATAGGGGGTTTATTTTGAACATTGAGAGACACGACAATAGTAAAAAAAGATCATTTAAAGCATGAATAAATTAACCAATTAGCATTTTCATGAATAAAGTAGGTATTTGATACACTGGTGGGACTATATCTTCATGCATGCAAGGGAACCTTGGGGTCTCAACGACAGAGCTGGTGGAAGTTTCTGGGGAGAGGGAAGTTTGGGCCTCCCTGCCGGGGCTGCTACCCTCACAACCAAAACACAAATATGGACAAATAGACAGAATTATTTGACGCGGAAAAAAATGGCCATACAAAAGTCACACAAACCTTTGTAAAATTTTCTGATTTTAGGACATCAGCAAATATACAGGGAGTGCAGAATTATTAGGCAAATGAGTATTTTGTCCACATCATCCTCTTCATGCATGTTGTCTTACTCCAAGCTGTATAGGCTGGAAAGCCTACTACCAATTAAGCATATTAGGTGATGTGCATCTCTGTAATGAGAAGGGGTGTGGTCTAATGACATCAACACCCTATATCAGGTGTGCATAATTATTAGGCAACTTCATTTCCTTTGGCAAAATGGGTCAAAAGAAGGACTTGACAGGCTCAGAAAAGTCAAAAATAGTGAGATATCTTGCAAAGGGATGCAGCAGTCTTAGAATTGCAAAGCTTCTGAAGCGTGATCATCGAACAATCAAGCATAACATTCAAAATAGTCAACAGGGTCGCAAGAAGCGTGTGGACAAACCAAGGTGCAAAATAACTGCCCATGAACTGAGAAAAGTCAAGCGTGCAGCTGTCAAGATGCCACTTGCCAGCAGTTTGGCCATATTTCAGAGCTGCAACATCACTGGAGCGCCCAAAAGCACAAGGTGTGCAATACTCAGAAACATGGCCAAGGTAAGAAAGGCTGAAAGACGACCACCACTGAACAAGACACACGAGCTGAAACGTCAAGACTGGGCCAAGAAATATCTCAAGACTGATTGTTCTAAGGTTTTATGGACTGATTAAATGAGAGTGAGTCTTGATGGGCCAGATGGATGGGCCCGTGGCTGGATTGGTAAAGGGCAGAGAGCTCTAGTCCGACTCAGACACCAGCAAGGTGGAGGTGGAGTACTGGTTTGGGCTGGTATCATCAAAGATGAGCTTGTGGGGCCTTTTCGGGTTGAGGATGGAGTCCAGCTCATCTCCCAGTCCTACTGCCAGTTTCTGGAAGACACCTTCTTCAAGCAGTGGTACAGGAAGAAGTCTGCATCCTTCAAGAAAAACATGATTTTCATGCAGGACAATGCTCCATCACACGCGTCCAAGTACTCCACAGCGTGGCTGGCAAGAAAGGGTATAAAAGAAGAAAAACTAATGACATGGCCTCCTTGTTCACCTGATCTGAACCCCATTGAGAACCTGTGGTCCATCATCAAATGTGAGATTTACAAGGAGGGAAAACCGTACACCTCTCTGAACAGTGTCTGGGAGGCTGTGGTTGCTGCTGCACGCAATGTTGATGGTGAACAGATTAAAACACTGACAGAATCCATGGATGGCAGGCTTTTGAGTGTCCTTGCAAAGAAAGGTGCCTATATTGGTCGCTGATTTGTTTTTGTATTGTTTTTGAATGTCAGAAATGTATATTTGGGAATGTGGAGATGTTATATTGGTTTCACTGGTAAAAATAAATAATTGAAATTGGTATATACTTCTTTTTTGTTAAGTTGCCTAATACTTATGCACAGTAATAGTCACCTGCACACACAGATATCCCCCTAAAATAGCTAAAACTAAAAACTACTTCCAAAAACATTCAGCCTCCGTCTCTCGTCGTCTCGTCTTCCTCCGCTTATCCGGGTCCGGGTCGCGGGGGCAGCATCCCAACTAGGGAGCTCCAGGCCGTCCTCTCCCCGGCCTTGTCCACCAGCTCCTCCGGCAGGACCCCAAGGCGTTCCCGGACCAGATTGGAGATGTAACCTCTCCAACGTGTCCTGGGTCGACCCGGGGGCCTTCTGCCGGCAGGACATGCCCGAAACACCTCCCCGGGGAGGCGTCCAGGAGGCATCCTGACCAGATGCCCAAACCACCTCAACTGGCTCCTTTCGATCCGGAGGAGCAGCGGTTCTACTCCGAGTCCCTCCCGAATGTCCGAGCTCCTCACCCTATCTCTAAGGCTGAGCCCGGCCACCCTACGGAGGAAACTCATTTCGGCCGCTTGTATCCGCGATCTCGTTCTTTCGGTCATTACCCAAAGCTCATGACCATAGGTGAGGATTGGGACGTAGATCGACCGGTAAATCGAGAGCCTGGCTTTCTGGCTCAGCTCCCTCTTCCCCACGACAGATCGGCTCAGCGTCCGCATCACTGCAGACGCCGAACCAATCCGCCTGTCGATCTCCCGATCCCTCCTACCCTCACTCGTGAACAAGACCCCGAGATACTTAAACTCCTCCACTTGAGGTAGGACCTCTCCCCCGACCCGGAGGTGGCAAGCCACCCTTTTCCGGTCGAGAACCATGGTCTCAGATTTGGAGGTGCTGATCCTCATCCCAGCCGCTTCACATTCGGCCGCGAACCTACCCAGCAAGAGCTGAAGGTCAGAGCTGGATGAAGCTAGGAGGACCACATCATCCGCAAAAAGCAGAGACGAGATTCTCCTGCCACCAAACTCGACACACTCCACACCACGGCTGCGTCTAGAAATTCTGTCCATAAAAGTGATGAACAGAACCGGTGACAAAGGGCAGCCCTGGCGGAGTCCAACCCTCATTGGGAACAGGTCCGACTTACTACCGGCTATGCGGACCAAACTCACGCTCCTCTGGTAAAGGGACTGAATGGCCCTTAACAGACAGCCACCCACCCCATACTCCTGGAGCGTCCCCCACAGGGTGCCTCTGGGGACACGGTCATAAGCCTTCTCCAAATCCACAAAACACATGTGGATTGGTTGGGCAAACTCCCATGCCCCCTCCATCACCCTTGCAAGGGTATAGAGCTGGTCCACAGTTCCACGGCCAGGACGAAAACCACATTGCTCCTCCTCTATCTGAGATTCAACTATCGATCGGACCCTCCTCTCCAGTACCTTGGAGTAGACCTTTCCAGGGAGGCTGAGGAGTGTGATCCCCCTATAGTTGGAACACACCCTCAGGTCACCCTTCTTAAAGATGGGGACCACCACCCCGGTCTGCCACTCGCTAGGAACTGCCCCCGATGACCACGCAATGTTGTAGAGACGTGTCAACCATGACCGCCCTACAACATCCATAGCCTTGAGATACCCAGGACGAACCTCATCCGCCCCCGGGGCTCCGCCGCTGTGTAGTTGTTTGACTACCTCAGCAACTTCTGCCCCCGAGATCGGACAGTCCATCCCCAGGCCTCCCAGCTCTGGTTCCTCCTCGGAATGCGCATTGGTGGGATTGAGGAGCTCCTCAAAGTATTCCTTCCACCGTCCGACTATAGCCTCAGTTGACGTCAGCAGCTCCCCATCCCCACTGTAAACAGTGTGAGCGAGTTGCTGCCTTCCTCTCCTGAGGCGCCGGACAGTTTGCCAGAACCTCTTTGGAGCCGATCGATAGTCTTTCTCCATGGCCTCACCAAACTCCTCCCACGCCCGAGATTTTGCCTCGGCAACTGCCACTGCTGCACCCCGCTTGGCTATCCGGTACCTGTCTGCTGCCTCCGGAGACCCACAGACCAGCCACGCCCTGTAGGCCTCCTTCTTCAGCCTGACGGCTCCCCGAACCTCTGGTGTCCACCAGCGGGTACGGGGGTTGCCACCACGACTGGCACCGGCCACCTTACGGCCACAGCTAGCAACAGCCGCCTCGACAATCGCAGAGTGGAACAAGGCCCACTCGGACTCAATGTCCCCCACTGCTCTCGGGACGTGGTCAAAGCTCTGCCGGAGGTGGGAGTTGAAGACCGTCTTGACAGGTTCTTCTGCCAGGCGTTCCCAGCAGACCCTCACTATGCGTTTGGGTCTGCCAGGTCTACGCGGCATGTTCCCTTGCCATCTGATCCAACTCACCACCAGGTGGTGATCAGTTGACAGCTCCGCCCCTCTCTTCACTCGGGTGTCCAAAACATACGGCCGCAGGTCAGATGATACGACTACAAAATCTATCATCGACCTGTGACCTAGGCTGCCCTGGTACCAAGTGTACCGGTGGGCATCCTTATGTTCGAACATGGTGTTCGTTATGGCCAAACTGCGGCTTGCACAGAAGTCCAATAACAAAACACCGCTCGAGTTCAGATTAGGTGGGCCGTTCCTCCCAATCACACCCCTCCAGGTCAAGCTGTCATTGCCCACGTGAGCATTGAAGTCCCCCAGCAGGACAATGGAGTCCCCTGATGGAGCACTATCTAGCACTCGTCCCAGGGACTCCAAAAAGGGTGGGTACTCTGAACTGATATTTGGCCCATAAGCACAAACAACAGTCAGGACCCGTTCCCCGACCCGAAGGCGCAAGGAAGCTACCCTCTTGTCCCCCGGGGTAAACCCCAACACACAGGCAGAGAGTCTCGGAGCTAACAAAAAGCCAACCCCAGCCCTCCGCCTCTCACCCGGAGCAACTCCAGCAAAGTAGAGTGTCCAACCCCTCTCCAGGTCTCGGGTTCCAGAGCCAATGCAATGTGTCGAGGTGAGTCCGACTATATCTAGCCGGTACCGCTCAACCTCTGCCACAAGCTCCGGCTCCTTCCCCGCCAGCGAGGTGACATTCCATGTCCCAAAAACTAGTTTTCTTGTCCGGGGATTGGACCGCCAAGGCTCCCGCCTTGGTCTGCCACCCGATTCGCATTGCACCGGACCCTTCATGTTCCTCCTGCGGATGGTGGGTCCACAGTTGGACGAGCCCATGTATCCGGTTCGGGCTGGGCCCGGCCGGGCCCCATGGGCGAAAGCCCGGCCACCAGGCGCTCGCTCACGGGCCCCAACCCCAGGCCTGGCTCCAGGGTGGGACCCCGGTAACCCTCCGGGCCGGGTACTCCGACTCTTCATTTTAACCGCCATGAAAGATCCTTCGAACCGTTCTTTGTCTCACCCTTCACCTAAGGCCAATTTGTCATGGGAGACCCTACCAGGGGCACTAAGTGCCCCAGACAACATAGCTCCTAGGATCATTAGGGCACTCAAACTCCTCCACCACGATAAGGTGACGGTTCAGCTTTGACATTAATGAGTTTTTGGCTTCATTGAGAACATGGTTGTTGTTCGTAGTCGTCGTCTTCCTCCGCTTATCCGGGTCCGGGTCGCGGGGGCAGCATCCCAGCTAGGGAGCTCCAGACCGTCCTCTCCCCGGCCACCTCCACCAGCTCCTCCGGCAGGACCCCAAGGCATTCCCGGACCAGATTGGAGATGTAACCTCTCCAACGTGTCCTGGGTCGACCCGGCGGCCTCCTGCCGGCAGGACATGCCCGAAACACCTCCCCAGGGAGGCGTCCAGGAGGCATCCTGACCAGATGCCCAAACCACCTCAACTGACTCCTTTTGATCCGGAGGAGCAGCGGTTCTACTCCGAGTCCCTCCCGAATGTCCGAGCTCCTCACCCTATCTCTAAGGCTGAGCCCGGCCACCCTACGGAGGAAACTCATTTCGGCCGCTTGTATCCACGATCTCGTTCTTTCGGTCATTACCCAAAGCTCATGACCATAGGTGAGGATTGGGACGTAGATCGACCGGTAAATCGAGAGCCTGGCTTTCTGGCTCAGCTCCCTCTTCACCACGACAGATCAGCTCAGCGTCCGCATCACTGCAGATGCCGAACCAATCCGCTTGTCGATTTCCCGATCCCTCCTACCCTCACTCGTGAACAAGACCCCAAGATACTTAAACTCCTCCACTTGAGGTAGGACCTCTCTCCTGACCCGGAGTTGGCAAGCCACCCTTTTGCGGTCAGTGTTTGTTGTTCAATAATAAAATAATTCCTCAAAAATACAACCTGCCTAATAATTCTGCACACCCTGTATATGTTAGTGCATCAGTCCAGTCAGATCTCCTGAATCTGTAATTTCTACAAGCTCCAACACATTGTGCTGTTCTCATTTTGACCTCAAAATTAATCCCACTGCATTAAACTAAACACTAAATTCTGCAAATCTGTGTTTGTTTGCAGGAAATGCATGAGAAGAGTCTGTGTGTACAACCCAACGAAGTTTGCGTGGAAGGACCTGGCTCCTCTGAAAACGGCTCGCTCTTTGTTTGGGATCACCGTCCATGATGACCGGATCTTTGTAGCCACTGGAGTCACTGACTCAGGCCTCACCAGCTCCGTGGAGGTCTACAACATCAACACCAACGAGTGAGACATAAATGATTTATTTTTATGTGCCTCTTCTTCGTGAGGTAAATCTCCTGTCACGAGAAGTTGAACGGACTGTGAGCTTGTGTGTGTGTGTTGTATGTCAGGTGGTCTGAGTTTACAGAGTTCCCTCAGGAGCGTAGCTCTCTCAACCTGATCTCAATGGGAGGTTATCTGTACGCCGTGGGTGGCTTTGCCATGATGTCCAGTGAAACCAGTGAAGACCCAGTTCCGACAGAGATGAATGACATCTGGAGGTCAGTCCACCTTACACGATGACTTTTAGTTTGACGATTCAACGGGCAAAGCAGTATAGTGATTTCTGACCATAATAGTTTCATAAATGGAAAATGAATGAGACATTCTCCTGATTTTCTTTTCTGTGCAGATTTCCAAGTTTAACTGAAAAAAGTCCTTTATTTTCTCTGAGGACATCTAAAATCTAACTCCCAAAAAACTTTTACAGGCATTCCTAAATTAGTTTTTAATAAAAATGGTAATAAATTAAAAACAGATAAAATCAGTTTAATCTCAGACATTATATTCGAAGTAGAAAACTGGAAAATGCAGGTTTTTAATCATTTAACCTGCTCAGTGGCTCAATGGTAGCCTAGGACTGAGAGATTGGGGGTCAAATCCTGGTTAATGGGGCGACGGTGGCACAGGAGTAATCGGAAGGTTGCAGGTTCGAGCCCCGCTCAGTCTGTCGCTGTCGTTGTGTCCTTGGGCAAGACACTTAACCCACGTTGCCTGCTGGTGGTGGTCGGAGGGACTGGTGGCGCCAGTGCTCGGCAGCCTCGCCTCTGTCAGTGCACCCCAGGGCAGCTGTGGCTACATTGTAGCTCATCCCCACCAGTGTGTGAATGTGTGTGTGAATGGGTGAATGACTGATTGTGTTGTAAAGCGCCTTGAGGGGTTCCAGGACTCTAGAAGGTGCTATATCAAATACAGGCCATTTAAAAATGGGCCCCATTGCCTCCCTGCTTGATGCTCAGCTTTAAGGAGTTGGATTGGGGGCTAAACCACCAGATGGTTCCTGAGAGGGTTCATCGTTCCCATGGTGACGGGTTTAATGCAGAGATGTAACTTCACCAGTGTGTGATGTTTATGTTTATTTATTTAGCAGACGCTTTTATCCAAAGCGACTTACAATTTATAACCTATAGGGCATGTTGTGATTTGTGGGGGAAACTGGAATACCCGGAGGAAACCCACACATGCATGGGGAGAACACGCAACTCCACGCAGAAAGGCCGCAGCCGAGTTTCGAACCTGCAACCTTCGTGCTACGAGGCAACAGTGCTAACCACTGCGCCACCATGCAGACCATGATGATGACTAATGGGAATTTGTGATATCTAAATAATCTTTAAAAATCTACAAGTCCTCAAAGTTTTAATTTAAACGTTTGCTTTTCGTTTGTCAATGTCTAAAGGATAAAAAACAAATCTGATTTTAGCTGATCGCAGCATCTGACAGTAAACAGGCAACGAGACCAAAGCCTAAAACCAAACCCAACAGAAAAATCCTTCCTCAGATCATCGCCGACTGAATGGATGCTTTCTCTATCATTGGGAGTCAACATGTTATTTTAGAAGTGAAGCTGAATCGTCTTTGGTATTTTCTATGCATTAAACTAAATAAACGAAACTTTGAGACTCTCTGTTGGTGGAAAAAAGTCTAAAGATCCAAGATCAGAGTTAAGTTGTTTAATGGACACACAAATGTTGAAGATGCCCACTCACTGGGAAGTAAAAAATAATTACTTTAAATATCACCAAAACTAATTTATGCATCCTACCTGCAGATATGAGGAGTCCGAGGAGTGCTGGAATGGGGTTTTGCGTGAGATTTCCTACGCAGAGGGATCTACCATCCTCCCAGTGCATCTCAACATTCTCCGCCTCAACAAGTTATAGCCAAACTGAACTGCTGGTGCCTCGAGGTTCAACCAGAACACTCTTGGTGGACATTGGCCCTAAATTAACTCAGGGTTCAGAAAGATTCAAGGTAATAACTGAACCTGGTCTCAGAGGAGGAAAGAAATCGCTTTGAAATTGTTTTATCCAAAGATGTCCAGCAGGGGGAGACAAACACATGCCAAGTCTGAGAAGAGCTGAAGACGAAAGACAAATCAGATTATCACACCGAATTTATTTTACAAAAACTCAAAAACATGCTTTGTACATCCTCTTTTTGGTACGTAGTTTTAGTATGTTTATTTACTAAATGTAATCCTGCGTTATTCCAATAAAAACTGTGATTAAGCTGCTTTCAGTGATGAGCCTCTGTGACTGAGCAGGAATGTAACTGAAGCCACATCCAGCACAGAGCAAATCTTTATATTCATCCTCATTTGTTCAATAACATCAACATAACTTCACATGCTGAATGTAAAACATGTAAAAAAAAAAGACTTGACCGGACAAAATGCAAATACCACGAAAGCAGCAAAGCTCTAAATGTAAACATAACGTCTGAGAACTAAAAGTTCACTTTCAAACAACTCTTAAGGAATATTTACAGCTTAACATCATTCACAACTATATCTGAGTTACATTTAGTTTGAGGTACTTTTACTTCACTTCTAGTTTTTACACACACAGACTCAGTAAAAACTAAAGAAAGCACTCCTAACACGGCACAGTACACGTAGACATGGACTCAGATAAACACATTACTGACTTAAACACCAGCAATCCTGATATAATTTAGCTGGATTCACTATATTTACACAAAAAGAATAAGAGCTAATGACAACGCTAATGTTAGGTATAATAAATGAATTCATAATCATGAAGTGTTTTATAAGAACTAATGATGCACAGGTACAGCTAAATTCAATTGTTTTGAAACTTCCAGAAACCAGATTTATTGAAAAAAAAGTCTAAACTGCTGAATTTATTCATGTGTGTTTATCCTCTAGGAATTATGGACATACTTACAGTGATGTGAAAAGGTATTTGCCACTTTACAGATGTTTGTTATATTATCGTTTAAATGTTTGAGATCAGAAAATAAATAAGTCTCTTAGACAAAGATAACCTGAGTAAACATGAGTAGTTCTCAAAATGATCATTTTGTTTTTTTAAAGAATGAGACTTTCCAATCAAATCTGGTATTTGTGAAAAAGTAATTCCCCCTTATTAAATCATGAACTAACTGGTTAATGACATCATTTTGAAGGCTGAGATCAGGTTTATTAGCTGATTACGATCAGATCTGTAGAATTAGAAACCTTTTCAATGGAACCTGTGTGATAACAGGACTTAGGCCAAGATCTCACAAAAGAAACTCGTCATCTTACATTTTAAAGAAATTCAAGAACAAAAAACGTAGAAACAACATTGAAAGCTCTGCAGACCTCTCTTAGCTAACGTAAAGGTCGAAGGTCATGACAAGAAAAGAGGTGGGAGAGCTCTAGGGTCAAAATCTCCGTTGACTAGAGAGAACACAAAGGCCCATCTCACATCTGTGAAAAAAAACATTTTGAGGAAGATTTTTGCTTTACTGCTTTTTGACCTGGACCACTTGCTGTATTTAATGGAACCACAAAATCTGCTTTCCCTAGCATAAAACCCTGAAGTAGAATGTCTGACCTTTGACCTTAAACAGGCCGTTCCTGCTGGAAAACCTTCCAGTGTGTAAATGAAAATGATTGTGTAATGAAGAGTGGGACAAACCTCCTCAGCAGTGACGAGAGAAAAATACCAATCAGCACAAACACTTGACTGCAATTAAAAATACGTTTTCAGACAGGGACAGGATTACTTTTTCCCTAAAAGACCAAGTTCACTGGTTTTTTTCATACAATTTCTGTGGTCTCTAGTATAAATAAATGCCTCGTGAGTCTATCTCTGTAGGAAGAATGCTTCGACGCTGATGTTTCAGGAAGTACAAGTTAGTCAGGTGAGAGGACGGAAGGGTTTTGAGTCTTATTTCCTGATATTCACACATCTCACCTCTGATTGGCTAACATCAACGTGACTCTACCACCGACTCTGTTTGCTTTGCAGCTTTGATGTTTTATCTCCACTAATAACACAAGCCTGAAGGAGTTCTACCATGTTGGAGAGTTGCTAATGCTAACAGTTAGCTTCTACTAGCCAAGACATGCTCTATTCTCTCCTGGAGGGTGATTCAAAAACAGCCTTCCCTGTCGTGAGCCAAGATGGGTGATGTAACAATGTGACATATAAGAGTGGATTTTTTTGACCCAAGCGTTTCCACATCTATGTTTTATCGGCGGCTAATGCAGGAAATAGCGGTAGAAGACCATTTTCATGTTCAGCCTGCATGTGAATCTCAGAGGGACTGATCATTTTACAAAAACAGGGGGGGAAAAAACGATTTGTCGGAGAACTCGCTCTTTAAATAATTTTGTATTCACTCGTGATTTTTTTGTCTGATATTGAAATTAGTTTCCTGGTCTGAAACGTAAATTTTTTCCACTGGATAAATGTGAGGGTTCATCTAATCAATAATGTCTTTCTGCATCAAGAACTAGAATAAACGTCAATAATAAACACGTTAAATAATAAACTGTGACATCAAATGACCCGATGGTGCACACAGTTTAATAGAAGCTAGTAACCGTTATGTTTATGTACTGAACTGCATTTTGTGAGCTGATGGGATGCATCTGTTATAAAAACTAAGAGCTTCAGCTATCCGAGCTGAAACGCATGAGGCAGAGCTTCTCCCCCTCCTCTGGAATGTTATCCGGCAGTAGTAAATCAAAGCCCATGTCCCGTATAAAACTGTCACAGACAGGATAGGAACATCCAGTCCGTTTGTGACATTACAAACTCCTCGGTGACTCCTGATCAGAACAACCTGACACCGGCTCTCAGAAACCACCCGACCCCCGCAGTATGACCCCGTGCAGCGTGGGCCGTTAGGTTAAGTGACTGAAGTCATTTTGTGCAACATGCAATACAAATGTTTCATTTCTTATCGGATGCAGCTTTTCTGCAACGTTATCCAACTTGTCTGGCTTCATGTGACAAATACAAACCAAGACTACCATTTCCTCTGAGATCTTTCTGTCTGTTACCAAACTGTAGCTGATGCTGCTCTAACGGCACGATCGTACGGTCGACTCAACATCTGAATCATCCACAAGCTCATCAGTTAGTCTTTATGCGAGTGATGCCGGCCTTTAATAATAAACTGTTTGATGACCTTCCACCTGTCAACCTTTTACAGCTAATGTACGAAATGACTAAAATCTGTTTTAGTATTTACACGTCGTGCTGACACCCTACATCCGCTGTACAGCTGCAGTACATAGGAGCCACACACGTGATGCATGTTGATGAAAACAAGAGGTGAGTCAGGCATCCAGGCGTTTCAGATTGCAGAGAGCTGCTCCTGACACGCAGAAGCCCGCCGTGCTGTGGGGCTGCACCTGGTCAACATGGTGATCTGGGTACTGAAGTTGTTGCCGTTGCTGCCAATGGACGGCTGCTGGTACTTAGTGTCAGTGCCCAGGAACCTCAGAAGCATCCATCTGCGCCATTTACGCTTCATCTCGGACTGCACCTGCGAGGGGTGCAGCGAGGATCAGGCAAACAGGATGAGGAGCGGCGTTTAAGAGGGTATGACACACAGCAAGCCAGGAAAAAATAGAAAGAGATCCGGTGGCATAAAAGAACAGCAAACATCCTAAAGAGCAGCATTTTGTTTGAATACACTCACCTCTCCGTTCAGGAAGCAGTACAAGACGGCAACAACAAAACCCTGTTACAGAGGAGGAAAGAGGAGTTTGTGTGGAGAAGAAAGCTGCAGCAGATAGCACAGCTGGAGGAATGCTCAAAATATTTGTGTATGAATAATGATGGTAGGATTATGACCGGCTTCAGCCGTAGACAGGAGGTTCATCATGTCTGGGACATGTTCCCAGGAGAAATCACTCAGAGCCAAAATGGTTATAAATTGTGAAAACTTTCCACTGCTAAGGTTCCATTTTTGGACTTTGCTTTCGGTTTTTAGATCATGTTTGCTCCTCGGAAAATCAGTCATATTTGTTTCTTAAAAATATAGAACTGAGCAACTGTTTGAGTACATCAGATCCCATTATTTCAGTTTGATGCTTACCTGAAATGATCCCAGAACTAGGTCAAACACCATCCTCAGTTGTGGGTGAACGTGGTCAGGGATGAAGGCAAATATTATGTAGTTTATGCCAAAGAGAGGTATCAACAGAAGGGTAGATTTAGCCAGTCTCCTAAAAGCAGCAGAAAGGACACAGAAGACAGGGTCACGGCTGTTTGTTTTAAATCAACAGCTGTTGCTCAACACCAACATGCCACAGTAATTCATTCAACATCAGCTGATAAGTCACGACTGTAACCTTTGCCATAACGGACATGTTGACCTTTATTTTTTGCAAAAAAGACAAAAACCTACGAGTATTGATTGGATTCCTTCCTTCCTATGTCAGGGCAATTCATTTTCTGTCGCAATATCCGGATTATGCAAGTAAAGAGGAAAAAGTTCACCTGCCAAGAGAATATAGCACACGTTAGTGTGGATCTCTATGTGAAGGGTTCCTAGTGTACACTGACTCACAAGTATAGCGACTAGAATGGGAGTTTTGATGATCCACCAAGGATTGTCATCAATGGTCTCCCAGCATCTGATAAAAAAAAGAGCAAAGACAAACTCTCCGTGAAATAGGAAACACGACCCTACAGCCAGCGCACTGCAGAGAGAACACAAGAGGCACACAAACAATAACGGAAGAAGCAAAAACAGCCTGTCTTTCAAGCTTAAGCACAAAACACAACTTAACTGAAAACAGAATCGCTGGTTTGTTATATGATGTTATCCATATTTAATTTATTGTCCTTTAAACTGGTTGAAGTCCATATTGTGTGTTCAGCAGTTCCACGAGTGGAAAAGCTGCAGAACAACGTGTTTTTACTGATTTAGAAAAAGACAACTGGCGCTCACCCTAGGTGGTTTAAATAGGCCTTTGTTATCACCCACGCAGAGATGAAGATGGTCGGCGCTCCTGTTGGTTAAAAACATCAAATTACATCAAGTTAAAAAAATAATCTCCAACTATTAAAGAGCGATGATCAGTTATGGGATGTCAAACAAACCATCCACACACACACACTCACCTATATAACTGTGTGAGCTTAGAGCACGTGTACAACTGTTAACAACTCTGAGGTGTGCTTTTCCCTTTTAACAGGACTAATCTGATCGTAGTCTCTGCAGGACATTCACAGGCTCTATCCACTCTTCTGCTGGCAGACTCTGTGTTTCAAGCCTATTTATAGTCATCGTATTGGTGTTGTGAAGAAAAAACCCCATCTCTACTGAACATGAATTTTAAAGAACCAAACATGGCAAAAAGATACCATAAAAGATGAATGAAGTCTGGTAGCTCCTGTGTCTGACCATGTATGTTTTAACAAAGACACAACATGAGATTCAATATCCAAAGAAACTAGAGAACATCCAGATCTATGTGACAAATGTTTATTTTCATTCTAATATGCTGAAAACTTCTTTGGTAAGTTCTTGCTATGTACTTCTAATTCCATTTTTGGTTCTTTTTTAAAACACAGAAAATGTTTCTTTTTACCTTGCTAACGTTTTATTTGCGGCTGCAAACATCCTCAGAGCTGATGCTGATGGTGGCGTCACTTCCTACTCCATTTATCCGTGGGCAGCAGAGGATGTTGTCGCCCTCTGCTACCCGCTCTCCCCTCTCCGATGATGCAGTCCCATGGGCGATTCAATGTGTAGACCCCATCGTCTCTGTTCATAGTCCCATATCCACGTCTCCTTATCTCTATAGCTTCCTTTATCCATCTTTGCATGGGATCTCTATGAAATCCCATGCAAACTTTGCAATAAAACAAACATAGGAGAAACTGGACGCCGACTCAACACACGAACAATAGAACATAGAAAGGAGTGCGAGAAAGAGGCAAGTCGAAAACACACAAGAGCAGCAAAAGAAGAAGCAGAAAGCACAATGAAGAAGTCAGCCGTAACAGATCACTGCACAAGAAAAAACCATGTAATGGACTGGGACAACACAAGGATCATAAACACCGAACAACAGAAATACAAAAGATGGATAAAAGAAGCTATAGAGATAAGGAGACGTGGATGTGGTGGATGTGGGACCATGAACAGAGACGATGGAGTTTACACATTGTATCGTGCATGGGACTGCATCATCGGAGAGGGGAGAGCGGGCAGCAGAGGGCGACAACGTCCTCTGCTGCCCGCGGATAAACGGAGTAGGAAGTGACGCCACCATCAGCGTCAGCTCTGAGGATGTTTGCAGCCACGAACGAAACTGTCAGCAAGGTAAAGAGAAACCTTTTCTGTGTTTTAAAAAAACCAAAAATGGAATGCTGAAAACGGTTGACCACTGCGATCTAGACAGCTAGACCAACCGTAGCAGTAGCAACAGATTTTATTCTGCATGTCAGTCTAACCATGCGCCAACGTAGTCTTAGCAGGTCTACCATTGGCCTGAGCAATTTTAGGTCTGGCCAGTCACAGCGCTTTATGTTTGTAGTGAGATGTTGGGCAGGCTTAGCATCAGAGCTGTTATGTAAAAACTACAAAGATGGCACTGGCTCAGGAGCAAATCTTGTTTGAAAGTGTTTTGGCATCAACTTTGGACGAGTTAGACTTGGGCTTTTCTTTAAGACATGAGCAGATAGAGGTACTTCAGGCCTTTATTTTGAAAAAAGGTGTATTTTCTTCTTATTCTTTGAAGGTGTATGGCGAACTGCCCCGTTGACTGATGTCCTACTGATGAAAATGTCATGTTTTTTGTTGCTCTAATTGGTCTTGCATTGTATAATTGCATGCATACACCATTATGAGTTTGGTCTATAGGTCAGGGTCGCACTATATGCTTAAATATATAGGATGGCTTTTCAGACTACTGCTGATTGATGGAAGACTCATTCCCAAATAAATAACGTTACAGTTCTACACATCAGATTTGTTGAGATAAAAAAGAGCAAGATAAATGATTTTTTTTTTTGCTGCAACTCCAGACATGCAGATGAATTGTAGCTAAAACTCCCAAAGAATGAGACTTTAAGAGTTATTTGTGATCATAAAGGCCCATGAACACTTACCCCAGCCTATGAGAATGTACCACCAGAAGTATTTCTTCTCAGAGAAGAAGGACACAGCCAGCAGAGCGTGAAGATAGAGGCTTTCTACCAGCAGCCAGAAGTAACTCGCCATGACCCCATACTGGAAGAATACCACTACTGCCTTACAGCCCACCTAAAACACAGGCAAGAAGCTTCAATTAACTTCCATAAAACAAAGAAGATAAAGTAGGAAATGACTGTTAACACATCTAAAGTAAATCTGTTAGACACAAGTCTGCCTTCTTTATAAATTGTTTGCTAAATTCAACTATATGCAGATGACACTTTTACTTATATTAGCTAATTCCAGTTAGGGTGTCTTCCAGCCTTAATTTAATTTAATCCAAAAATAGTTTTATAAAATAAAAGTCTTATATTATGCTATTGGGTTTGTTACGTGGCTTACCTTCACCTCATTTGGGCACTTACTTTGATGACACACCTCAGGAAGATTAGACTTTTGACTGACCCCAAAACTTCCTCTTAAGCCTTTTTTTTCCCAACAGCACTACTCAGCCAAAAACAGCTCAGTACAGCGTGAGTTCTCACAGCTCACTTCAGTGAAGTTGGTTTCCCTGCCAACACCATGACGAAAAGTGGGTGCCCTCGTCATAGCCAAGCCATAGTGAGGCAGCAGGCAGAAAGCTCTGGAACAAACAGTGACTCCACCCCCTAGCCAATCAGTGACTGAGAGCCTCTGACGTCGTGTTTGAAGACTAGGTCAGCAGCAGTTACTGAAAAGTTGGAGGAACATAACTAACTATGCTGTTGGAAAAGACAGTCAAACTGGACTGCACCCATCCGAGACATGCTGAGTAGTGTTGTTGGAAAAGGGCTTTACGTGGTATGAAATGATTGTCCATGCCTTTTAGGAGAATTTTTGAACTAGTATCTAATGGCACAGATGGATTCTCGGAGATGAACTCAGTGCTCTCTGAAACTGATGAAAATTCAGCGAGTTTTGAAAACCTTAAACTTGTATTTCAGATTTTAGTTTGGACTCTATCAGCATTGTTTTGTCACTGTCTCTTTACTTTTATGCCTAGAAAACAGCCTCCTTTGTTTCTATTGATTTCTTGAGAATGTGAAAGGGAATGGATGTTGAAGCTTTGTGTCTTCTGACATGTTTGAGTTCAGGTTTTTGAAGCGTTGTTTGAGGTTTGATTTCCTGCAATTGTTTTCAGGGCTGTTTAAAAATGAGATGTGACATCCTGAGGAGCTATCCTTTCATTGAACTCAAAAGAAGCAGAAAAAAGACAATGAGTACGATCTTTACATCATTACAGTCTATGTTGCAGGTTTTATTGATTATACAAACAGATTGAGAGTTGGAAACCATAGAGACAATGGAGCAGTTCAGATTAAAGCTTCCGTTTATTTCTAAAGCATCTCTGAGCCGTAGCTGAGGTTTGCAGTTAGTCTTCTGATGCTACTTCCAGCAGGACCATGAATCACGTCACAAATCTTAGATAATCTCTAACTGATGTCTCGACCATGACGATGAGTTCACTGGATCTGGGGATTTGGGACTGGCCTCCAAAATCACCAGATCTCTGCCCAGTCCAGAACGTTTGGGGTGTGGTGGAACAGGAGATTCACATCATGGATGGAGCTGTGTGATGATGTCATTTCATTATGGACCAGAACCTCTGAGAAACGTCTCCGACACCTTGCTGGATTTATGGCATGAATAATTAAAGTGGTTCTGATGGAGAAAAGGAGGTCCAACATGGTGCCAGAAACACACCCCAGTAAGAACGCATGGCCCTTCTTGAAACTCCAAACAAAAAGCCTGATGATCCTTTTAAAGCCTGCAGAACACAATGTCCACATTTTACAGAAATATTTTTTACTCAACAAATCACTGCTGTTTTTATGTTTTTTTATTTATTTTTTAAATCTCGGTTCATCTTAAAAATGCAGATTTTTGACTATTGTTTATACATTTTTGTGGTTTCCATCTTAGAGTTTTAAATCCCATTTATTATTTACATCTTGTATAATTCTAATGTGATTTTTCACTGATAAATTACGCCGCCGCCGCCGCCACCCCCACCCCGGTGGTGGCCAGCACCCTCACACCTCCAGGTCAAAAATTGTGCATTCTGTCAGAGAAACCATTAAATAAAATCACCCATCATAACTTTTGAGAACCTTGATAACACAAATGAATGTAACGATTACATCTGCATGGTGGCACCTGAAGCTCATTCAGGCTAAGCGGGTGTTCGCACCAAGTTTTGGTCCCGACTTTTTCTTCTTGCACTCAGTTTTTATAAACGTGACCTTTTTTTACGCATCTGTGTGAACGTAATTTTGTTGTAATGCTAATTTTGTAAAAATGTTTAGAAAAGTTGCCAAAAGAACTAAACTGACCTCAATTCACAAAAACGGATTCAGTTTGTCTCCTGCAAGGACAACACATCTTTTTGTTAGCCATTAATGGAGTTAGTTGGAGAGATTTGACAGCTGTTGGGAGCAAAACAATCTGTAAATCCCAAAGAGGAAATATCTGAACTCAGATTTCAAGGTTCAGCTCGGTAAGATAAATGAGAAAATTATTTAAAGTCTGACTATCTAATTCTCTCTGAAGATAAGCTAATGGATTCTTATGAATAGGATCAGAGAAAAACAACATAGCTGGTTGTGGTTCCATCAGTTGGAAAAAATCTAAGAAACTGCATCACATCCATATCCTTTAAATAGTGACTTATGGTCAACTGGTCAAGATAGCGATTCAAACAAGAGCTCACAGCTCGAAATGTGATTTATTGGCAATGCTGTCTGCAGCTTAAGTTTAATGTTGAGCAAACAGGAACTCTCAGCGCATCCTGCTGGATGGAGGATTAGGAAAACGCCGTCCCGGGAGGGGAACGAACTTGGCAAACACTGCTACACCCAAAACGGTAAAGCAAATGCTGACACAAAGCATTTGAGGTCTGACAGTGAGTCAAAAGTTGTGAACAGAAAGTGAACGAGAGGAGTGAAGAGAGCACTCACTGACGACTGGCAGTTGTCCGTCTCACCGACGTCGTACAGAACCATGTCCTTAATGAAAACGGTCACAGCTTTTAGAATCAGAGACACAAACAGATTCATGTGGATGTAGTTTCTAGTGCAGTGGAGCTTCCTGGAAAAAACAGGACCAGCAAAATAAATAACAAAATTACTAGTTTTATTACAAAAAAATACCTCCTAATAAAAATTAAGAGAAAGTGTGTGTAAGCTTCATAGTTCATCTAGTTTTATAGTCAAGTGTAAACCAATCAGCCAGAAACAAACAGGAATACATCAGACGAATTCCCTCTGAGCTGATGACTTGGGGTCAATTGGGTAAACCTGTCAAGCGATTCAAGTCAGCAGGTCGTATGAGACGTCATGCAGCATGGACCAGCTGTTGATGCTGTGTGACATCCTCTAGAACGTAAACAATGAAGGATGTTCACATCCTGTGCTGCTGAACACGCGCCAATGGCATTTCATGACTCGGAGGAGTAAACACAGACCTTGTTGTTTAGCCAATGACACACAAACAGTCTGGGTGCGAATAAAGAGAGTAGGCTGCTCACTGAGATCCAGAGACACCAGTTCAACCATCAGTGTAATGTTAATAATTCTCTGAACCCATCCATCCACTAATCTGAGACTGATTAGAGAAACCCAGACCTTTATTTCCTTAGTGACAGTGAATCTTTCTAGCTCCTCCTGGGGAATCCCAAAGGCGTTTACAAGCCAATTCATTCTTTTTTTGTTCCCCAGAAAATTCTGTGTCTACTCCAGAATCTCCTAGAGGGGGTTGCTTGGATCACCTCCAGAAGGAAGCATCGTTGTCAGATGTCTGAACCACCTCAACTAACTCCTGTCAGTGAGGAGGAGCAGCAGCTAGCCATCCCTCAGGCTGAGCCAACCCACCCACTGAAAGAGGTTGCTAATACCAAGGATACTGTTTCTGGAGGTCATCATTGTAAACACACAACCACATCTGAGGGTTGGATAATCAGCAAAACAGTAGATCAGGAGATTTGCCTTTTGGCTCAGCTCGTTTATAGAGACAGATTAGAACATTATCATCACTGCTGCAAATGAATACCTGTTCCATTAGCTGAGCTCTCTCTTTCCATCCTACCATCACTCACAAACAAGACACCGTGATAGCTAAACTCCTCTGCTTGAGGCAAAGACTCATGTCCAACTCTCAAGAAGCATTCTACCTTTTTTCAAGTTGAAAACCACAACCTGTGACTCTCATAACAGCTACTTCAAGAGATGAGGAATTGTGGCATCAACAAGTCATCTTTATGCCATGTTTTTCTTTAGTTCAGCAACTAAACCAGGTGATTTTAATCACCACAGTGAATGAACCTGGTTCAGTTGCTGAGCAGAACAACATCGCGGCATGGAGGTGACTTGTTGATGCCACAATTCCCATCTCTGGCTACTTCACAATCAATTGCAAGTTCATGGCTTGAAGACAAGAACAGAACCGCATCATCTGCGAATCAAGATGTGGAGACCCAGTAGCCTGTAGAAATCTAGATAAACCGCAGCAGTGGTAAAATGATTTGCTCTGCAGGTCTGTTAAAGGTGAACTTGCCTGACCCCATCTTCCTGACGGGCAGGAAGCATCAAGTCAGGCTGGGGAAGAATCTTTCTGACCTGCAGACCATCAGCACCGGTTTCCCTCATGGCTGTGTTCTCTCCCCACTGCTCTTCTCCCTGAACACCAACAGCTGCACCTCCAACCATGAGTCTGTCAAGCATATCAAGTTTGCAGACGACACCACTGTCATAGGACTCATCTCAGATGGGGATGGGTGTCCTGGTGCAGCCACAACAACCTGGTGCTAAGCACCCAGAAGACAGCGGAGGTTGTTGTGGACTTTAGGAAACACACAGATGATAACCCTGTCTGACACTCCCACTCTGACTCATGTCGCTTGCTGGGTACCACCATCACCCAAGACCTCAAGTGGAAGCCCATCATCACCTCCATCATAAAAAAGGCCCAGCAGAGGATGAACTTCCTGAGGCAGTGGAAAAAATTCTACTTATCAGTGCAGTCGACGAGGCAGTTCTACACCGCAGTCATCGAGTCCAACCTCACCTCTTCAATTACCGTGTGGTATGCTGGAGCCACCATCAGGGATGAGAAGAAGCTGCAGTGTGTTGTACGCTCTGCTGAGAAGGTCATTGGCTACAAACTCTCCTCCATACAGGACCTGTACACCTCCAGGACCTGAGGCGTGCAGGTCGGATCACAGCTGACCCATGTTTTTGACTCGCTCCCATCAGGAGGCTCCCAATCCATTTGGACCAGAACCTCTCGCCACAAGAACAGTTTCTTCCCCTCTGCTATTGTACTCATGAATAACAATCCCAGGACTGACCACTTTAGCCGCTTGGTTTCAGCCACATGGCCCTGTGTTGTATTTGTACCAGAACAGACCCATTCTGATCAGTACCTCCACTGTCTTGTATATAGTAGCTGTTTCTCTAAGTATTGCCACTTATATTATTGTTTTATCATGATTATATTCTTACTTCCTATATTTGCCTTTCTCTTATTTTTCTCCTTTTTGCACCAAGTACTGCAGCAATTTCCCAATATTAGGATTTCTCGCACATATGGCAATAAAACCCTTCCGATTCTGATTAGTCCACACTCCATTGGAGCTTCAACAATTTTGTGTCTTTCCGGTCATAGTGCTCTATCTTTGTTAGGCACGCTTAACGCTAAAGCTGTGACAGAGAAAATCTACAGAGATGGTGTCAGCTCAGGAATGGTGCTCATTTGAAACGACTTAGGGTTAAACCTTGGACAATGTAGACTTGAGCCTTTCCTTCAGACATGAGCAGATAGAAGTACTCAAGTAATTTGTTTAAAAAGGGGGTGCATTTTCCTCTTCTTCAGTGGTGTATGGTGGACTGCCCCATTGACTTGATTTCCATAGTGATGCATATGTCATGTTGTTGGTTGCTCTGATTGGTCCCAGCGCTGTCCAATTGTGTGCAGAGACAGTTTAAATAAGAACCGTATTCCACCCATGACTAGGCTGTTTCAATGGCTCGTGGCCAGACTGTATATTTACATATAGATGAAGAGGCTAGAGACCCATTGGTTTCCAAACCAAACACCCTTCTCTCCATTACACTTTGAGGTCCTGTCTTTGAAGACCAGAAACAGGATCTGATATCCAGGATCAACCTGTACCAGGTGAGAACTTGACCTTGTGGATTTTGCTTTGGCCACATCGTTTCAAAGGGCCTGAAGGAAAAACTCAGTAACATCTACCAAGGGGCTCTAAATGATGGGATGCTTTGACTTTGGCCGCGTTTTCACAAATCTGCTTACCTGAAGAGACACAGTATGGTGATGGCAACCATCAGAGAGATGAGCGACACGCTGTGACCCACAGTGTAGCCGAGTTTGATAGCGCCAAAGAATTCTCCCTGTAACAACATGTTCCATTAAAATAAACCAAGACAGATCATTCAAACTCACCATTAGCGTTTCACATAGAGTAGGATTTACACTAACTGAATTTTCATCCATGGTGTTGTTGGGATTGTAACCACAGTCCATTATATATGAGTCCAGGCTAATTGGGGTCCAGCCATCTGCAGTGCAGGTCTTTGACAGATTTCCTAAAGGGCAGAGAGTCAGAGAAAATACTTCACATTATCATTACAGCATCATTTTAAGGTCAGTTTCATGTACAAGTACAGCGATGATTGTGCGCATTGATACAGAAGCTCCTCACATTTCCACATACTTGATTATGCCACTGTTAGATATAGAAGTCTCAATGGGATTCTTACATACAACAAAATGACTGAGAGGAGCAGTTGTCCAACTCTGTCTCAGATGCAGAGACAGTTCCCATGTGCAGCTGTCTCCATCAGTGGCTAAATTACACCCAGGGTGCACACACCGTCACGATATTAGTACACATACGCTGTTTTAAATTGAGCTCGCCTGTGAGGGCAGAGGTGAAAGTTCAAAGTGCAAAAGACTGCTGGCTGGACTAGAAAACAGTTTTTAAACAAGCTCAGAAGAACTGAACTTCAAGAACATGTAAAGGATTTGGCAAGGATGGCAGCTGATTTGGAAATAGCTCGAAACATCAACAGATATGCAAAGATTTTCATCTGCATGTGAGACCAAAGTAGACAGAAAGCAATTTGAGTTACTACTGGATTTAAATTTGTTATAAAATGGGCCGATACTGACTAACATTTGGTAGTGAGAGGGTCCTGTAGTATGGCCTTTAGCCTAGCATGTAGCTGACCTTTGCGTGTTGTATGAAAGAAAGAAATCAACCTTTTATATAGCAACGCTCAAGATAAAAATCATGAGGTGCTTCACAAGAACAAAATTTTTAAAAGATAAAAAAGAAAGAGAGAGAGGGAAAAAAATGGGACACACAAAAATACGAGACCAAAATATCACTGCGCCAACAACATGAAGATATATAAAAGTAACGACCTAAAGACCTACAAGAATGCACGTTATACAACCACTCATGCTCCCCATACACACCCTACTCACTCTGGTCCCAGTGCTGCTGCACAGAAGGCACAACCATTCCTGAACACCAGCGCTAGCCCCGTTCTGCTGGAGTAATGATGAGCAGGTACCCCCACCCACCACAGTGCAAAGCAACACGCCACCTCAGACCCCAATCAGACGACCAGCTCCCACTCCTAGCCTCCAGCACCGGACAGCTAACCGAGGACAGAAGTGTGATAAGACCTCTAGATGCTTACCTGCTTAAGCACACCTGATACAAATGAATGAGAAATGAACAGGTTGTTATGACATACTGGGGAGAACATTTGACCATTTGAATCAGGTGTGTTGGCGCAGGGAATCAGCTTAAAGTTGCATGACGTAAGAGCGACATCTTGTGGTCACACCTGGATACTGCAGTCCCTGTTTCCAAACAAACAAGTCCACTCTCAGAAACTGTTGCCATCTACGGCTCATGACGAGCAGAGACGAGTCGTATACAGAAGGTTGATAAGGAGATAAATATATTTCATTGTAACAATGTATTGGTACTTGAAAAAGTAGCTTCATATTTTTAGAGACAACTTATTTTTCTAAATCAGTGTTAGCAGTGTTAGCTCATCGTTACCCGCTAGCCTTTATTACCAGGTATTAGAGTATAATAAAAAAGGCTCCAGATTTTTAGGGCTACAAGAAATAACTTCTGGGATGCTCCTTCTACAGGCTTGCATTGTGCTCTGCTGCTTTTTGTCGGTCAGTATCGAATTACTAATGTCGTCGCAGACTTGGCAACCCTGCGGGCCCAATATGATTGACTCTGAAAACAGGAAGTATGGAGGAAGGACAGACTGTAAACAAAAACTATGACCCTATCCAAATACTCGAACTTCCACATTTGTGCCTCAGTTCTGCATTCTCATCCAGTGGTGCGATTGTGTCCCAATTCTCAAGCGTGGACCTTGCTCTCACCCCTGATTTGCGTTTCGCCAAAACCCGCATTGGTGCAGATTTTTGTGAAGGGTGTTAGGCAGAATCCATTGTTGCGTGAGAATTTTGAGAAGAAGGTGGAAAAGTAGCTTAAGTGCCTTTTCCAAAAATGTTTTTTCAAGCGTAATTATTGAAATATTGAATATTTCATTATTTTCTACAGTTATGATTACAATCACATGTTTCTACGTGTCTGTTGAAAAATATTGTTAACTGGTGCTGCTGTGTATTTTTGGACACACCACCCATTTAATCATTTGTTTTGATATCATCTAGTAACAGCAACCAACATCCCCATTTAGGAAGTGGTGGTCAATGACACAATGCTCACTGTCCCAATTCTACAGTGATTTGCACTCTTGTTTACTATGCACTAAAAGCCTTACATGCCCTTCCACCAAGCGCACTCCGTAGAAGACTGTAGGCTGCAGTGTGGGGATTGGGACTTCTTGGCCCAGTGGTCCGAGAAGGAAATATGTTTCAATAAAACTTTCCTTCCAACATGACTGAAACATTAGACTGTTTTGAGATTATTTCACAATCAAATTCCTACTCATTTTACAAATTTGCACACTTGGTTTCACCTAAATCAAAGGAAGAAGGAGCTGCTTCAGAGGGGCTGTGCGTCAGTTTGAGTAAAGCTACATGGAGGAAGTTGGAGCTCGACTTAGAGACACTTCAGTTCAATTTAGTTCAATTCAAAGATACTTAATTAATCCCAGAGGGAAATTAAGAGTTTCAGTACACACAATTCTGAGATACAGACAGACAGCGGGGATATTTAAAAGCTTAATTTAAATTTTTTAAGTAAAATGACATCTTAAGATGACTTTTATGACTCAGTATATGCGTCACCAGGGGGGCTGCTAGATATGTTGGGCCCCATGAAAAAATATCAAGTTGGGCCCCCTGGCGGCTCCTCCATAAGGGGCGCTGTGGCTCTGCCTTCCCAGATGCGAAGGGAGAAAAAAAATTGAAAAAAAAAAATATATAAATATATATACTTTATATTAGTGTTTCAGTTTTGCTTAATGTGCATGTCTACAAGCATTCTTGCTTATTTCAATGTTCAAATGAACTTGTCAAAATAAAGTAGAGACCTCTGAATTCATTTACATTTGATTGAGACAAAAAGATTGTTTGTTTAATGTCTTAAATTGGAAAAAATACTGCAAAGTAAAGTACTCATGGTTTTTAAAATGTTATTTTTTTATTAAAGTTTGAAACTTTTTTGGGCCCCCTGACAGCCTTGGGCCCTTAGACTCGTCCTAACCTTTCCCCCCCTTTACGGCGCCCCTGTGCGTCACTCAAACATGATGGGTCTTCCCAGTCTGATTCTGCTGATCAGCATCAGCACACTTCTCACCCTGACGGGGCTGACCCACACACCTTCACAGCAGGAATAGCTATTTCATCTCTTGTGGAGTATGTTTTATCTCTAGAATTGCTTCACCTCCATTTGTGACAATATAGCTGACGAAATAAGGAATCTGAATGTTGGGCATCTCTCAGCCATGTCGCTGCCACAGCCACTATCACAGCGTGACAGAGTTGGGGAATGACCAACAAGTCTTAGAGTGTATCTGGCATTAAAAGTTGGTCAAATACCTGAGCGGCGTATTGCAGAGAAGACCGAGGCTTAGTTTCTCCAAACAGCATGACAAGACACAAAGACAAAGATAAGCCACTGATATTTCAGCCAATCCAACTGCTGGATTTTGGTTGTTTGAGGGATTGCCAGAAGAATGCTTTCATCATTCCCCAAAACACGACTGCAAGGATTTTCTGTGTCACGAGCGATGACAAGGGGAGCTTGAATTAGTTCATCACTCAGTAATCTCCTTTGTTTTCAGGTTTTTAATCAATCAGGATTATTATTTTATGTTATTAGTCCTTGAACCTAGATATGTGTTCTCAACATTACCCTATTATGGGATGTGAAAGCACTGACATGGAGTCACTCTGCGACTGTAAAGAGCCAGCCTCCTGAGTTATTAAAGGAGATGAATGGCTGTGTGTTTGTGTTCGAACTGCTAGGTAAAGAGTTCATGAGACTGGCAAACTATCTTAACCAAATTTATGACTCGGCCCCTCGATCTCTGTGGCGCCATGTTTCGTAATGCTTGTTTTTACTGTGTGAGCCTTGTAAAATGACCGGCTCAGGATGTGTCAATAGCTTCAGTCTTTCACAACTGCTCCTATGTGAAGCCAAACAGACTTTTACTCATTTTGAGTCACTTATGTTCACCAGTAAGATAACTTTTCAACAAGTAACTCTGGTGTTTCTCTATGACCTCCTGGGGTTACAGAGAAACTCAAAAATAAACTAATACACTAAAAAATGGACAATGGTTGACCTGCAGAATGTGAACAGCACTTTTCTGGCTGCTGCAGGGGAGATAAAGGTTTGGCTGCAATGATGATTTACAACAAACACACTCCCAGACCATTTATCATTCTTTAATTAAGTCCTCCTTGCATGACCTGAGAGTAAAACAGAATCAACCAGCAGAAACTTTCACTTATCAGTGATTTACTATATAATTGATCTTATGTGACCATTGCAACCAAGGTCACCTGAAAATCTCCCCTCTCTCTTGATGCTCTGGCACCCATTAACCCTGTGAATCTTTGACATGTCAGAAAAACATGCTTTTTAAAAAACATTATTTCTCTTCCCCTTCATCATTTCCCCTGAGCGCTGTATTCCCGTAGGTCAAACTATCTCCAATCTGGGTCAGAGCACAGCTTCCCACAGATGTCTTCATTTCTGATCTGAAGCATGCCAAATTATCAAGTGTGCAAAAAAACAAAAAAGCAAATCCATCCTTCTTCTCCCGTGTCCTCTTAGGGGTTCTATGATTGTGTTTGCTTTAATTTTCCAAAATCACATTGAGGCCTAGTCCACACGTAGCCGTTTTTTTTAACGGATATCCGCCCCTCCAAAAACTTGTATCCACACCACCTCGTTTTAAAAATAAACTCTGTCCACACGTACCCGGATAAATACATTGTTAAGGACATGCCAGACCTGTAGGTGGCAGTACTTCCCCCATTCTTAACCTCGTCCGTCGTCTGTGGTCTTCCGCAAGGAGCAGTAATTCTGCTTGCAAAAACAAACAAGCAAAAAGCGCTTGGACAATTGATA